AAACAGAACAATGACAATAATAACGGCAAGCCAACCTGAACCGACGAGTTGGATGGAGTTGGATGAAAACACCGGATATCCAGCCAACAAAGAGGGCGGGAAGCCCCAACAAATGTCAATTTATCATTTCCGCTGGTGAGGCGACGCAAATTGCAGAGCTTAGGAAATGCTTTGCGCGCCTGTTTAAAAGGCATTTTAGCAGGGCAAACACGCAGACATTAGACCCACCGCCGCACACATCACCATCCATATAAATGGACTCTAATGGCCCAGTTCCCCTTTTCTGCCCTACCCCATTGTGGTATGCATAATTGTCTCTGTCTTGGCGCCGACTTTCTTCAATTTGTGGCCATCCTGGAGTCGGACAAAGATATTAAATATCATTCGGGCACGCATTTCTGGCATTTATCTGGCTCTTTAATGCCGCCCCAGTGTCCAATTTTATGCATTTCTTTCGTGTAAATATGTCGCTCCCCCTCCCCCTTGACAACCCACATATTATTCATATTTGTGGGCAAGGCCATTGCCAAAAAGTATTTTTAGGCGAGGACAGGACAGGACGTCCGTGTCGAACGATCCACTCTCTTCCCGGCGCCAAAATTGAAATAAATGCGTTGGGCCAACGCGGCGGATACGTGTTATTGGTACGGCTGACTTGCCAACCAAATGGACTGTGAACGTTCTGCTAAATTTGAATTTTAATGCTTTTGCCCGGTAAAACTTAACGACTCTCGATATCTTGGCGTGAAAATATTTTATAGTTATTGATTTTCAGCCTGTCAACGCAAAATGGAGGAGGAAAAGGTGTTTTTATTTCTTTAAAACGATTGGATAATAAATATAAATGTTAAACAATAAAGTTTTATGGCTTCGATATTTTTTATTGAAAAAGTTGGTGTATTAATTGGATACTATGAAAATATATTTATAAATAAATATGGGTATAAGAAGGGATTAATATTTTAGTCAGAGAAGAAATTATTTGGATTACACAAAAAAAAAACCAAAATTTATTAACGTATCACCAACTTAACCGAAATATCAAAAATTTTTATAAAAAATATATTTAAGAATAGAAAAAATGTTAAGTATATGAATAAGAGCAAGGATTATGTATAATTTTTAATTATTATAAAAATTTTATGTGTTTGACTAATTGAATACTTCCTCAACCCTTGTCTACGCCAACGCCTAGTCCGCATTCGTAACCCACAGCTTATCAACAGGACACACCCATGAACAGGAATTGCGCTAATTAGACCGACAACAGCCACGCACATCATCAACATGACCACCTTGCCACCGAGAATCGAGCAAATGCCGCACCCACCTTATGGCAAGTGTAAACAGAATACGTGTTTCCACAGAAAATCATTTACTCAATAAATCAAATTGACTGCTTGCTGGCAAGTAGGACACCGTATTTACTCTCAATTAGTTGAACATTAGCAGGACATTTTGAACATTAGCAGGACAAACAAGTTGCTACATAATTAACCAAGTGGAATAAGTTACAAACAATCTCCTCAAGCGGGAACTGAAAACGCTTCAGGACTTGTCAAAAATTTAATTAAAATTATGCAAATTTCAGCGATAAACGCAAGTAAAAAGCTTATGTCCTTGCCTTATGTCTTTGAAGAAGCCCGCAGTCTTTTTAATCTGCCGCTAATGCGCGCTTTTGTGCGTGGAAAATCGGATTTGGTTACTCTCATGGTTGAGAATATAGAATATTATAACATTTTTGTTTATATTGATTATATGATAATAAAATTCTCTAACTTAAATCTTGAAATTTTGAAAGAAATGAACAAAGAAATGAATATTAATAAAAATAATCAAATCAAAGAGTGTGTTCACTCTTTAAGCTGTTTAAGTACAAGATTTGATTTTTAATCAACAAGACGTTATAATTAAACCCTTTTTAGATATTTCAGACTCAAGATCTTAAACAACCTTTTAAGGATAATTCCCTCTGTCCGTAAGTGTATATGTAGAGTTTAATTGCTTGTCTCTAGCAGGAACAACAAACACTGGATGGCACTTATTTGCATTTCACATTAGGCAAAAGCGTCTGAAAAGGAGCTTTGCAAGGACTTAGCATGTTCTGCCGCCCTTCGTCTCGTGTCTGTTTGTTTAGGCTTATACTTTGCATGAGTTGACATCTTTATTGGCAATTTATGTCCTTCCTGGCCCATTCACAATTCTCAGGTAATTTCGCTTTGGGCGTGGCCAAGTTCGTAAGGAATTGAAATAAAATGGGCGTCGTCATCACCATTTCTTAATTAGTTGACAGGCCGCAAAAAAGTGTGCTTAGTAAACTCAGTTTCGACTTAACCATCAGCGGATTTATGCTTTTAATTTTGTTTAACTGGCAACCGGAATGAAATTGAAATACAGCCTACGTGTTTGTAATACGAAGTGTTCTGGGTGGCGGAATAAATGGCGTAACCGAGCGGCAGTTTTATGGTTGATTTGGGTTTCTCCTTTAGTTTCTTTTTATGTTTTACGCCGCTTTTCTTTTATGCTTCTGCAGAGGACAATCCAAAAAGTTTGAAGAGCAGCCCAAACTTTATAGTAAGTAACTTTATGGTAAGCAAAAAGATAAAGAATCCGAAGGACTGCTGGCAAATATTTATGAAACACTATAACCCAAATGAAATTGAATATTGAATAGACTGCTTGGTTTCAAGAACTCATTCAAATTTCCTAACTAAGCCTCAATTCCTGAAAGTTCTGTTACTCCTTATATTTCGAGATATTCTTGAAATTTCACAAAGCCACAATTAGTTCAGCTAAGCCCTGTGCAAAATTTTATCCGGAAAACATGGTGAGCAGCTGCCGTGAATAACGAATATATATATTCGCAAATTAAAAGCAGTAGCAGGGAAATTGCTAAGCAATAATTATAATTTGTGGCATTAGCAGGGAGCCAAAATTTTCTGGGTAACTTTCGCCGTGCAACCAGCCATTGATAAAGTGTCGCTATACAATTTATCAGCAATCCCTCCGGGAAAAACTGGGAAACGAAAAGAGGGGACGTGCGGGAAAATGTGCGGAAAACGGCAGCTAAACAAACAGTTACTGCACCTGCCACTGGGGAAAGCTGGCTGTGGTAATTTATGAGTCATTCTCTGGAAACGCTGTATGCTCTCGTTTTTGGCTTCGTTGGTTTTTCACATTTTCATTATTTCAAAAAAAAGGAGCAAATAAACCGCACAAAGTTCTTAAAAAAAAAAATGAATTAAATGTTTGTGGTGCTCGCTTCTGCTTATTTGAGGTTTGCAAATGGCATTACCCGAACTTTGTGTCCGAGTCTTGGGTTGAGTAAAAAGTTATTGTGGTGAAAATGCAAATGAATTTTTAAGCAAATTGAAAATAATTGTAATAAATGTATTTTCATAATGAAATTGCAATTGAATTATATTTTGTTTGCAGAAAATAGTAGTCCGTTAAATATGAACACAGCAGCTTAACAAAAGCAATTATTATTCCGATTTACCAATTTGTTTTGACCATTTTATTCATTTAATAGTTCTTTTGCTGTGGTTAAAATTCGAAAGCAGTTAAAATATTTTATAATATATGGCCAGTAAAAGTAACTACCAATAAATTATACTCTTTAAGATATTTTCTTTTCAATAGTATATCGAAGCTTTTAAAATAGTTACTGAAAAATGTCCAGTGAACTGACCTTACAAGGCACACTACTAATTCTATTCAAGATATTTTCTCCTCAATGAAACGTATTAAAAGCTTTTCTTTTGGGCAATGTAAACGTTATTATCACCCTACTCCGGATTCATATGTCGTAAACTCAACTTTTGTCCCCAAAAGCAAGCTATGGAATTTGTCTTATGATATGGCCCATATCGCTGGCCATAAAAGTAAATTCCGTCTTCGCTTATTAGATAACATAAATAGGAGCATGAACTGCCTTAACGTGCATTAGGAAAAACTGTGCCCAAGGCGACTGGACGGCAACGCGGCGGCTACTTAACAAAGTTAAGGATCTTACACAAATTTGCCATTGGCGTATAAAAATGCTTGCGGATGTAGTGGCTTGTAATGGAGTGCAGTGTATACACACAAATGTATACATCTCCTCATATACAATCGTGTACAGTTAAACAATTTATATTTGCGACACCATTAAGCACGGGAGGTAAAGGGAAACTGGAAAAGCTGAGAAAAAATGGAAAAGTGCGAGCAAAAAGGCAACTGCGATAACGGAGAGCGCCCAGCGTGTTGATACAGTAAATAATGCTGAAACCTCTGGTCACAGGATTTCCTTTCATCCGCACACACAACACACTCGGAGAAAAATTGGTCTTGACTACTAGTAACCTATCAAATCCATTTGTTTTATGTCCCTATAATAAGATATTTAAGTTTAAATTGAGAGCTATAAACAACGAATTTTGCAATAGTCAACAAGTTCTTTTAGGATAAAAATAAAAAATCTTTTTTACATTTCTTAATTTACTACAATATTTTATTTCAGCACGTTTAATTAGTTATTGATTTAACTACAATATTTAATACCAGCAGGTTTAATTAGTTAATGAAGTCTAATAGTTCGACATTTTGTATAAGAAAAGAAATATATTGGTACTGCCTAAAAAAGCATTTTAAAATATTTAAAATACTTTGTCTTTAAATATTAAGCAAATATGTTTTTATAAACTTTTATTTGGTCTGTCATATTTGTTTCAGATTTTTAGATTTCGTAACAAAACTAAAGAACTATGTTTTTTGTAAGTTATATTTCGAAAACATATTTTAAAACCTCATAAAATAGTTTTGAAAAGGATTCGTCTTTTAACCGAAATACAAGGAAAATAGTTTCCAAGATAGTTGAGCAAAATAAAAAAATATCCCTTGATTAAAACACAATCTGGTGTTCGTTTTTTCCGAGTGCACCCACACCCACACAGTCACACCGAATGTTGAATAGGTGTTGATATGAATGTATTGAATATCGGAGATTGAGCCCGCCTTACCTTCGTCCTCGTCGTCGTCGTTGAGCTCCGTGATTGCCGCTTTGTCGCAGGGCCGGTCAATGCCATTTGTTGCTTCCGACTTGCCACTCCCCCCGCCGACGCCGCCGCCCCCGTTGGCCGCCTTCGCATCGCCATTGGAGATAATTGAACTGGATTTGGCGTGATTTGTGTGATTGTTCGCTGATGACTTGGAGGAGGACTCGCCGTCCAGGGGAGGAGCACTTGGCTCCGCTTCGCCATTGCTGACCGCATCGATGGCCGAGCCGTCCTTGGTCTTCAGCTCCTGGCTGGTGTTGCAGCCCATCTCACTGGATTGGGATTCACTCGGATTCGGATATTTAGTCCGCGGATTTTGGTGGGGTCTCTCCGCTTTCAGTTGGCCTAGGTTACCCTTATTTTGTTTAATCAATTGCACACACACACAGACACGATCCAACTAACACACACACAGGCACACCCACAGTACCGAGTTGGAAACTAGTTTATGGAACTATACTTGTTGTTTCTGGGCCAATTTGCACTTTGACTTTCACGAGACGAAACCTTTTTTTGCTTAAAAATGTTTAGAAAAATACGCTGGGCTAATGTTATTCCTTGAAAAAAGTTCTTCTTTGTTTACAAAAGTCGTTAGAAAAAGGTGCACAACCACAGGTTATCAGCCAAAGAACTCGCACGGAACCGGAAGCGGAAACCAGCTGGATGGCAGACTCGCAGCGCAACAAACTGACTGTCTCTGGCACAAGCTCAGGCACAACTGACTTTGACACTGAACGGCGCCGGCGACGCGTCCTCACTGCGGATGCCACGGACCCCGAATGCCCGAATGCCCGAAATCCCCAAATCCTGCAGGAGCAGCAACAGAAGCAGCAGCAGTTGGGAGCTCAACAAGCAGCGACGCGCCAGCCGGCAGTCAACGGCACACAAAGCCCAGGGAAACAGAGAGACAGGACCTCAAAGCGAGAGCGAGAATGTGTGCTCTCTCTCTCTCGCAGGACTCACAGTGGACTGCCAACCAATGTCAATTTAAACATTTTTGAAAGAAGTTGTATCTTTTAAATTTTAAATTCAGACAAATGAAAAAATACAATTTCTCAAGCAGAGGTTTTTTTAGGAACATATTTTTGGCTTTAGTAAAACTTTATTAAAATTTTAATACAACAATTTTCCAAAAAAAACTTATACAATTAAAAATAAAATTTAAGGAATTTAATTGCGTTTTAATGTCAGTTCTAAGCCTTTTTTATAAGTGCAGTGAAAAAGAACAAATAAATCCATCCAAAGTCCATCCTAACAAGTAATGTGGTTTCTGTGCCTTTTGAATTTGAAGTAATTTAATTGCGTTTTAATGTCAGTTCTAAACCTTTTTTATAAGTGCAGTGAAAAAGAACAAATAAATCCATCCAAAGTCCATCCTAACAAGTAATGTGGTTTCTGTGCCTTTTCATTTTGGAAATAATAAATATTTGTTATAAGTTATATATTGTATGTATATATATATTTTTAATTTCAGGAAAGTGATTACAGGATCAACTTATCTTAATCTGTGAATTGTATATTACTTTATATTTTCTTTAACAATTTTGACATTTGTGATTATAAGTAAATGTTTTGCTAAAATAGTTGTAAATTTCAAATAATTAAATATAATAAAATTTTATTTAGCTGAATAATATAGTAATCTAAAGCTTCTAAATTGTTTTAAAATTATGTTTGTTTTGTTCGGCTAAGTATCCCCAATCTTATTCCACTGTTCAGGAACTGTTTTGCTTAAGACCAGAGCAGAGAGTTCAACGAGAGAGTTGCTTTTGAGCCAGGCGGCAACAGCAGCAGCTGCCTCTGTTGTTGTGAGCCAGCTTTGGCTGCAAACTTTTTCGCAAATAAACAAACCGACGGCCAAAGCCGACTCACAGATACACACGCACACACATACGCAGGCCATGCAGGACAATGTGGCTTAGAGGAGCCGCAGAAAGCGTTGCGGTGCTACCAGAATCCTAAGAGCAGCAAAAGCAGCCATGGCAATGGCATCATCATCACCACAGTCACAAACACAGTCACAGTCACACTCACACTAGCGCAGGCCAAAGGACTCTCTCTCACACACACACACACATTGCGTGTAACCGGGCGTAAACAGCTGAATGAAGGCCCAGCCAAAGGGAATGCAAATAAAAAAGGAATATTACCGAGTTGAGAACCTGGCCCATAAAAATATCAATGAATACATGGGCCGCTCCTTTGTACGTATATAGCAATTCATAAAAGGCAACTAGCTTATATCTTTTGCTTCTCAGCTGTCATCTGGCTTCCTTTTCTGTTTTCTTGTTGGTATAGTATTTATTTTTGGGAGTTGGCTCCTCGACTTCACTGTGCTATAAAATGTGCTAGAGTGTGCGTGAGACAAATGAATTGGTTGGCTTTTATTGTGGCTTCCTCTTTAGTTCCCCATTTGGATCTTTCATTATCATCCCATCTCTCTGTACATACTAAAAAATTACAAAGATTTTAAAAGGATATATTAAATTTATACGGCCTAAAAAACGTTGTGGTGGAAAACAATAAACTGCTAATTTAACAAGGGTCTATTGTTGAGTTGTCAAAAAACGGTGGAATAAATAATCCAATCTTTATTAATAATCTCTATTTATACTATTAAATATAAAGAAAATTACCTTAATAATTCGCATCAATATTTTAAAATTTCCTTATTATAGATTTACCTTTTTGTTTACACTTCTTTCTTATATTATCTTAAATATTCAATTTCTAGAAGTGTATACCACGTTTACCTTAGAGATAATAATAAAATAATAAAGTCCGTTTAGTCAAGTTAAAGTGCAAGCCGCATATGTGAACCTGCGGCAATTTTAATCAAAAGTTTCCTTGGTTACCCACATGCATATTATATAAGTACAGATGTTTGAGCATATGCAAATTAGCTTCCCATTGCAAATGTGGCATAAATCGGAAGAACCAACAAATAGAAATTGAGCTGAGACTCAAAATAAGCAGCAAAGGCAAGCAGATATATTGAAACTATGTTTTCAGACAAATTAATTGAACTTAAATGAACAAACATACTATTTAACTAAAGGCATGGGAACTTGGCTATTTGTTTACGTGTTTAATGAGTTTAGACCTAAACTGATACATTTCATTGGTATTCCATTAAATAATGAACCTTTACTTTTATGAGCTTGCGTACGACTCGTCACAACAAAAAAATTATTAATTAAAAAACGACAGCTTTTATTTAATTGAAATGTCGATGGAAAGTCAAACATTGACAAAAGCTTCAGTCAAATTTAATAGAAGCCCGACAGAAAACCAATTTATGAAAATTAATTGAGTTAAAATGGGCATTAAAGCAACCAGGGCTTTGTGATATCCCGATTCATATTTCAAAGGTAAAAAGCAAAGTGAATATTGATTGAACATGAAGCAGTTTTAAAATCATTATACATTCCAAAGTGCTAAATTAAGCTTCCCCCGAAATTCTCTTTAAAGATTCCCGAAATTCTTGGGCAGGAAGGATGCCAAAAAGGCCAACAATTAAGTGTGAAGAACCGGCATACAGCTGCGACTGCCTTGAGTCCTTTTCAGCAGTTGCATTCTGGCAAACAAAAACAGGACGTGGCAGGACAAGAGCCAGAACTTGTCGTCGTTCCAAAACTGATGGAAAAACAGCCTTGAAAGCGTGAATTCGCACACCCCGAAAATGTGCGGGACAAACAGAAGGACCCAGAAGGCTTGGTGGCGAAAATTCATGGCCTAAAATTCCAGAATCCCTTGGCACTCGACTACTACCTTTTTTCGGGGTCTGATAAAATGACTGACAACTCAAGAGTCTCTAGACTCGAGAGTTTAAGGCCCAAAACTTTGCGCATCATTTGCCAGCAGAAATGCCAGGTCATTATGTTGCCCAAAAGATATAAATAGCTTTGTTTTTCAGATAAAAATGTGTTGGCTTTTCGATTTTTCTTGTGTTTTGTTTTTTGTGAATAAGAATGGGAATAGGAATAAGAAAAATACGTATACGCCGCGTGGCTGCGAACTCTGACATGCCCTTTGCTCTTTGCTCCGCCTCCTCCTCCCAACTCATTTGCCGCCTCCTTACTTCGGCTCTATTTTATTTATTATATTTGTGTGTGTGTTTTTTTTTTTTGCACTACCCTCCCGGGACTTGAGCCGAATGGAAAGTTCTTCGCGTCCTTTTTTTTGCGTCTTTTTCAAGTCTGAAGTTCAGCGGAGCGCAACAATTTTCAGGTCTACTAGAAAAACTGACAGCCAGCAAATAAATTTAAAGCGAAGTTCTGTATGTGCTCTTAAGGCTTTCCAGCAAAGAGAATCCGATTTTCCGTAAGTACTTGAAAGGAGCGCAAAACTTGCCAAGTAATTTATCTGTATATTTATTCCGCGGCTTAACTCCACCGTTTCCGCTTGTCTGTTGAGTATTATTATTTGTCTGTATGGCACTTTTTTTGCTAAGCAATTTATTCGCATTCCTGTCTCATTATTTATTCGACTTTTTCACCTTGAACGGTCAAGGTCCTTTATCTCACGTCCCTTATATCTGAATATCTGATGTCATGTCGGCGATAAAAGCGTTTCTTTTGTCACCTTCATTTGTTAGCCGACTTCATCTGCCGCGTTGATTTGTGGCAACAGAGAAAGTCGCTAACGGTAATTGAATTAGCGTCGACATGATATATGTACGGATATTCTATATTGTTGTTTCCCTAACAATGCCAATTAATCATACGCAACTTTGAAAAGGCGTTGAAATGAAATATCCATCGTACGTGTGATTTAATTAATTTCCCCTTATTATTGATGAAGCATGTTATATTTAATTATTTATAAGCTGCAGGGCAAGCCCAAAAATGAAGTCTGACTTAGAGTTTTTACAAATGATTTGTGACACAAAAGTTACAGTTTGATCTATATTTTATGTTGACATAAAATTGGTGCAATTTAATTGCTAAAACCACTTTTGAATTTAATTGTACATTTTTTACAGCTATTATTTTTTTCCTTACTTTGCAGTTTTCAGTTTTACAACTAGTATTTATGTGAAAATGCCACAACAAATTTAAGGCTACTTTACTCATCGCATGGCTACCAGCATTCATATCCGATAACCCAGCTCTTGGCCAAACGCCAAGCCAATATTAACCGGTAATATGAGCAGACAATAGATGGCCAAGGGGTTGGCGGATCGGATCGGATCGGTTTGTCTGGCAGACAAGCGGCAAACCAAAAAATGACAGTTCGGATGTCAGGAGTGCTCGATGTTGACTTTAAAATCACATTCAAGAGTTCGCTCCGCACACTCAACCGGACTTGTATAAGCAGTTCAATTACACGACTCCCTGCTGCATGCCTGCACCGCCTGCCACGCCTACCTACCCAGTGGTACGCCCCCAACCCACCACCGCCCACCCTCCCACACTGCCTCTGTTTATTGAAAGGTTACATGAATGACACACACGCCACAAAAACTGAAGCACCCACACAGACCGACATCGACCGCAGACACACACTAACACAGGGGCGTGCAGGGGATTTTGTCAGGGGGTGGAAAAAATAGCCCTTATTATTATATTTTGATTATTTCATTAGTATATATTAATGGGCAGAAAAGCAATCCAAAAATACAAATTTATTCATTTTTGATGGCATAGGTGTATACTTCATTTATAAGTACAGTATATGTTCTCCAATTAAAAATGGACTTTAAATATTATAATAATAACAAAGTCTGTTTGCATTAATTATCAGAACATTTCAGGCAGAAACTCAGACTAAAAATCTATTAAAATACGTTTACCTTAAAATGCTAAAGAAAAGTCGAAGCTAATTTTTAAAGTTGTTCTCATTAAATGCAGTTTTAGATTGTAACCAGAAATACTTGCAATTACACTGGCATTGCACCGCTATGTTATTAATGTCTTATATTATTTTCTCGTTTAACAATAACTGTTTAAACATTTTATACATTTTTTTCCGATAAAAATATACCTATTTGATAACTTTAATCTTTAATCTCTAAACCCCTCTTCGCACGTCAGTGCATAAATCTCACACGCATAGGAGCATTTGCATTGTCTGTTGGTATATCCTTTGATTCGTTCCTTTTTGGTTGCTTTTCATTGCATTAAGTGAATGTATCTGCATGCATATGCGACACGACAATAACATAGCCGTGTATTTAGGGGGGGGAAATGGGAGCAGTAGCAGAAGCAGTAGCAGTCCGCTGCCAATTGCAACAGACGCCGCCGTCTGGCAGCTCGTTACGTGCCATCACGAAAGGTCCCCATTCACCATTCACCATCCCATTCCAACTCCCATCCGGAGTTTCCCAATCCGAATCAAACGGAACGAACCCCTCTTAAAGTTAAAGATCTGTTCGTTTCGATTTAAGCTGTTGGTTCATTGCCTACTTTTTGGGGCCCACGCGCTTCCTGTCTTTTTCAGTCAGCCAGCGCTCAGATTGATGGATGATTTTTGGCCAATTGATTGATGTACGAACTTTACAAAGTTGACAACGATTTCAGGTCTCACTGAAAGACACGTGGTCATTTTGCGTCATAGCTAGCCACAACATTAATGGGTTAATCGTGGTATAAACAACCCTTGTTTTTGGTCTGCTTTTCAACTTTTTGCACAGAAAGCACGATTATTATAAACTATAAATATCAAAATTAAAATTAAAATATTTTTTTTTTATATTGTTCATAAATTTGGCATTGTCCATAAGGTTTTTAAATTATTATTTTAATATAAAATAATTTAAGCATTCAATTTTTGGAAAAATATACCAAAATGTGTTTTAAAAAAACCAACTTACATAAAATCTTATGATTTCCACACTTTCTAGACTTTAAATTATTAATCGAAGTTAAAAAGGTTATATAGTTTCTTTCTGTGTTTAGCAAAGCAATTACTTATTTTCCCCTTGCACCAATCATTCAATGGCCTCATTAAAAATGTATTACAAACTCAATTCCATAGACAAGCATTATATTTGGAGTTATGGTTGAACATAAACATATATTCTAAGCCATTTAACGACGGTCAATAAAAGTGTCGAACCCCGCGTTTCGAATACATCGGGCTCGTTTATGACTTTACAAGGGACACCTCAAGCCCACTGACTACGTGACCAGAGAGCGTTTTTAATTAACAATTACCACATCAGGACGAGCCCAGGAACACGTGTCCAATTCTGTGGGTTAGCTCGGGACCTTGGGTGCCTAAAATTAAGATAATGGCTTGAAAATTGGAGACGGGGGAGCCCTGGCAACTAGGGTCCCAGCCGAAATCAGCGGGGAGGGTAGCCCACACCGCAACTGACTCTGGTTTCTAATTTCGGAGCGAGGGCGGCTACAAAAACCATGAACATGAACATGAACGAAGAAAAAGGATAAAGCCAACCAGACCGCACCTAAACGCATGACGCAGCCGGTAACCCATCTTTCCGAGCTTAAAAACCAACTGCTTGCATTTTAATTACGTTGTTCTTTACACCTTAACGTGTTGAAATGCCATAAAGGACAACAACAGCAAGTCGCCCACAAAAGGGCAGCAACAGCCAAGTCATGAAAAGGATCCAAAGGCAAAAGGAAAGTGGAGCAAAGTGCTCGACGGGGGATAAAAATGCAGGATACCCTTTTGGGAAATTACTGGAAAATTAAAAACACTCACGATACCGTAACATAAAAAGTAAAAGCAATTGGTATAACTTCAGATGAATTTGATTTTAAGGATTATTACGAATTCAATACATAATTTTTTTTAGAGTTCATTTCATATGTGTACATTATGTGACTTTAATAAAAAAGTCTAAAAAATTTTTACAACTTAAAAAAAAAACATAAAATGCTTAAGTTAGGAATGATAAAATGTGTTAGATATTCAATTAAATTAATAACATATATTTTCGCAAGTTCAAGAGATTAATTTTATGAATGCTTTTTAAAACTTTTTTTTATTTTTACATAGTGTCTTACATTTTTAAAAACTAAGTCACTTTAACAAAGCAAATAGATGATACAATTTCAATACTGTTTAGCTACTATCAAATTCCATTTTTAAAAGTAAATTTATTGTGTAATCAATGGGTATTTCCCAGTCGAATACCTATGGCATAAAACATAGCGTGCCTGTGCAGCAATTAAAAGTAGCTATTTGCTGTCCCACATGGCGGACGAGCGAATCGTCCGAATTCCCTGGATCAAAGGTGTGGAAATGCCGCCGTTGACCGAAGTTGGCGACTTGTGCTTAGTGTGCGTGTTTGCCTCCATTTCGGTTGCCTTTCTGATTCTGTTTGCCTTTTTCTGTCGAAGTGTGTGGTCAGCTGTGGTCAATGATAAAAGCGAAACGATAATTTCCGTTCGTGGACCTGGGCGGCAAAGTGACCATAGACATGCAAATTTCCATTTAGTGCGAAAGCTTTCTGACAGCACCGAAATGGAGCCGCTTTGGAAGTTTTGCCCAGGTGAAGGTCAGAATTCACTCCCTTGTGCAACTGCCTGCAGCTTAAATTTATTTATAAACATAGCTCTGGGGAATAATGGCAAATTATATCTTGTTGACCGTTGCTCAATAACTAAAAGGTTAAACGAAAGCTGCACATTTGTTGGTTACTGATACAGAACAAATTATGCAGTGATCGATTTGCAATATTATTAATTAATTAAGACAATTTAGAGGGCAAATAATGCATTTTAAAATCAAGTTTTAAATGCTTAACTATGCTTAACTATGTTTTTATAACTTTAAATTGTAAACTTTTGTTTAAGTTATATTTAAAGTTATTTAACCTAGACCAAGTACATTCTTAAAATGTCTTTTAGTTTCAAACACATTGCTTACTTAAGTATAAATATGCTTACAAGAAAGCTATAAAAACTAAACACTTGGCTATCCTTACAGCAACAAAAACTTGAAAGTAACCCCTCACAGAATTAAGTAAACTCAATTACATGATGTCTCCTGGTTTAGCGGCTCTGAATGGAAACTCCAGGCCACCGCCCATCGAGTGGTGTGTCCCTGATGGAATTCCGTGGTGGCGACATTCGCCACCTGCCGCTCCTTCAGGTAGTCCAGTATCCTTGGCACGTTGGCCTTGACGCCCAACATTGTGGTGAAGATGCTGTTGCGAGGCGGTAGAAACCAACGTTAATTTAATTTCAGGAGGTAATCAAGATTGACTCACCGCATGCGTAGCTTGTTTTCCAGACTCTCGTCGATAATGCGCTGCACAAAGCGGACTTCGCCACCCACGCAGGTTAGCTCCTCCTGGCTTCCAGTTCTGGCATTGTTGGGTGCAGGACGTCGCTCGGGATTTCTGGTATTGCCGCCAAAAGGATTGGCCAAGTTGGAGTCGAAAAAGGGAGGATTACATAGGCAAAAGTGGTACTGCAGCTCCTCTTGTTGCTTCTCGAAGTAGCTCCTGAAGATGCTCGTTTTATCTGGTTGAGCGTAGACTTCTATTAGCTCTTCCAGATGGTTTTTCTTCACATTCTCCCTGGCATATTCAATGTTTTGGGGTTTCGATTCCAAGGCCAGCATGTGCCAACCATTTTTCTTGGCTCCCAGCAAAGAATAAATGCATGAGGAACCACAACCTTGAAAGGAATCTATTAGTTAGTCGCTATATCTTATATTTCCTGAACTCACCTATATCTATTCCCCTGATTTCCTGCAATTTCAGCGGCTCCATTAGATCCTCTAGCCATAAAATGTAGTTTAAACGGAGGGCCAAAGTGGGCACCAAACTACCAGGTGCAAAATCCACATTTAAATCAAAGTATTCCTTTAAAAGCATTTTGGTCAACTCACGCAAGGTCTTTTCATTGCGAAAATTCACAGATACTTTTCCATTGAGCTCCTAATTGAATAAAATGTATAATTAAACTTTTGTAAGCCCAAGAAGATAGTTAGAACTTACCAATTCGCATTCTTTGCGAAAATCCTTGTATTTTATAGCCAATTTTGTATAATCAGGTGGCTGGCGTAATATATTTCGCGGATGCATGCCAAATTTCTTGGCATTTCCCTTAGTTTTAACCATGTTTTATGTTTAAAGTATTACAATTGTTTACGAAATGAAATGCCGCCGAAATTCGAACAGCTGTTTAGTGCAGCAGCTTGGCAACTCTGCTTGCCAAAGATTAGAGATGGCAAATTATTGATTACTTTGGTTGAAAATGTAGTATTTTTGGTTTTTTCCTGGTTCTAGATGACTGGTCTTACTGCCACTTGTTGATCTAATTTTTGTAAACAAAAACACATAAGTCTTATGTCTTGGACAAGAAAATTGTTAATTACATACGAAAACTTCACAACCGATTTGCCTGATCTTCAAGATGGCAACAAAACAGAAGGATGCTTTCCTGCCTGCGACTGCAAGTGTAAATGCTGCAGAGGACACAGGGAGAAATACGTGGCATTCAATGGGGAAAATGAGTCTTTTTCCGAATTTCCCAACGAGTTTTCCGGCGAAGCAGAAGATGTGCAGAAAATGATACGTTTCCGCAGCTCAGATATTTTGCTTTTACTGCAGGCAGCGCAATTACGTGACAATTTCTGGACCAATCAGTATTTTAAGGCTGACTTACAAGAGGATTATGAAGCTGTTTCGCAAGTTTTTAAAGTAACAAAGAGGCAAGTTCAATTGGAAATGGTGGTGGCAATTCTGGATACAGTGAGCACTGGCTACAGACGAGCGGTTAGCCAATTAACGGGTGAGGAAGCCCAAGGAGCTCTGCGTCCCAAAATGGCAGCAATTACATTACCAGGATTACGTTGTATTTGTCAAAAGTGTGAGCAGCTGCCTTGGAAAAAACTACAGGATGTGGAGGATCATCAGGAAAGCCATACTTATTCAGACAACTTTCACTGCGAGATTTGCTATCGCAGATTTTACCTGCAGCATTCTCTAACCACCCATTTGAGCAGGAAAATTGGAGGTCAAAATGATGGCTCAGAAGAACTTCGGGAAAATGGGCGATACAAACGATTTCTGGATAATCAAAAAATAAGAGAACAAGAGGAACTGGAGAAACGACCTGCAAAAGTTAAGGAAATAGTGGTGCCCGTATATAACGACCAAGAGCTATATCTTAAGGAAGAATCAAGATATCCTCTGAAAAAACGACAGAGTTCAAGTCGCACACAATGTCCGATTTGTCATCAAAAATATGGATACTCCTTTAGCCACCAGCTGCACATGGTCAAGCATAGAAGGGATAAGTTCGAAACACCCAAACTTTTTCCCTGCTCCTTTTGTCAGAGGTCCTTTCTTACTCATAAGTTTATGCGCAAACACCAGAAAAGAGTTATATTGGCAGGCAAACTCAGATATCGCCCATTTAAATGCCCAAGTTGTCAATGGAGATTCCAACTGTGGTCTGCCCTTAAAATCCATGTAATTCGCAAGCATGAACGGAAAAAACTCTGTCTCATTTGCAAAAATCCCACTTTGGATCGCTGTTGTTCTGCTCATACGCCCAAGGAATGCAGAGAAGCCATTAAAAAACACCGCGAAATGCGCCGTTTAAAAGGAGCTCCTGTGTGCGAAATCTGCGGAAAGGATTTTGCAAATAAGTTCTTTCTCAGAGAGCACTTGAACAAAACACACTTAAACAGGAGGAATTTCACCTGTGAAATCTGTGGAGCAAATTTCTACAGCCAAGGCACAATGCAAACTCACAGAAAATCAGTGCACTTCTTAATGCAGACCATGAAATGCGAGGTTTGCAATCTCATTGTCAAATCCAGGGCAAATTACCAGAGGCACTGCAAGTCGCAAAGGCATATCGATGAGATAATTAAACTGGAATTAGGCAATGGAAACTCCAAGGAAACTTTTTCAAAAGAAAGTGTAGCCATTAACCAACCAGAATCCAATCATAGAATAACGCAAACCACCGAAGAGTTAATTAATATGGAAAGTTATAATGAGGCTACTAGTATAAACGCAGAAAAAGCAACTAAAAAAGAAAATAACAAAGTCGTGACTCAGAAGAAGGAAAAAATCAAATCAAAAACCCCTCGCGGATTTCAAAAACCAGATAAATTAACTTTTTGTGAACCCTGTGGAAATTCAATAGTGGGAAATATGCAGAGGCATTACAAATCGACCAAACATAAGCGTAACTTAATTGCACACAACAGAAATATGCAAATATTAAAAATAACTAATAACAAAAATTTATAGTTTTAAAATAAAATTTAACCGTCCAATAAATTGTACTATTTATTATTTGTATCAATTTTAATGCTTGACTTTTTACTTACGTGGGCATTTGCTTTTCTCCTTTTTAAAAACAACGGTTTCAAGAATTCAAAAAAAGCGGGAAAATAAAGCCGTTTAAATATACCGAAACCTTAAATTGGTATTATTTAAATATAGGTTATTTTTTACTTTACCGAACAACGGTCACTCTAAACCTAATTTCGGCAAAACAAAACACATTTTTTACGGAAAACTCGGTTTTATTTAAAAAAAATAGACTTAATATGTCGGAACCTAGCTCCAAGGATAATGTCAAGACGGCAATGACGTATATTTGCGGTGGTAAGTAGGGCGAATAAAGTATTTCAGTGTAAAAACGAATTCTTCAGCGGGCACATGGCTGCTGGAGTGCCACACAAATGTTTAAAATTATGTTTTATTATATATTGTTCGTTTTTTCTACTTTTAGAATGTCATCACGAAAACGAGATGCGACCAAGGGATCCAATTCGTTGTCGCGAGTGTGGATACCGTATCATGTACAAAAAACGCACCAAGCGTCGTAAGTAAATTATTTTAGTTGAGACTGAAAAAGTCTCCAATGATTCTCAAACTGTACTGATGAAATCTTTCGTTTCTTCTTGCAGTTGTTGTCTTTGATGCTCGTTAAAAAACCGTGAAAACTAATGGACAATCTATATTTTTAAGGAATTAGTTTGTAGCTAAATAAAGCTTGTGCTTCAATAAAAGTCCTCTTACAACCGGAAAATTAAATTTGTTGATAGTTCTTTTTAGTAAAAAACAATACAAATTTCAATACCGTGCTCAAAACTCTATTTTTTTAATATAAAATTACGCTTAAGCTTTATTTTTTTAGGACTAAATGAAAATTTTATTGATATAACACCTGTAAAAGGGTAACTGAAACAGGTGCTATATCATAAAACCACTTTTTTGAAACCCAAAGTAAAACCATCCACATTTTGTAATTGTAAAAACAAATCAAAAAATCCCAAAAACAAAAGAAATTAACAAAGACCTTTTTGTTTTATATTTTAAACTAATTATGTTTTATTTTGAATGTTTTGGAAATATATAATTTTAAACTAAAAACACTCACATTACAGTTATTGTAATTATACCTTTTATTTTTTGCAAGTTCATTGCTTAAATAAAATTTAAAGTAATTCGGTTTGTTCTTTTTTTTTTGTTTCCTTTCTTATAAATGTCTTTTTTCGTCTCAAAAATTTTGTCTAAATGGCTTGTCATCCAAAAATTTACTTTACTTAAGAATTTTCTCTTCGTTTACGCTTTAGTTTAGTTTTGTGTAATAAATTTACGTTTCTTTTTTAGTTTACCACATTTAGCAAAAACACACATTTTACACTAAAATTGTTTATAGCTTTATTCATATATATCATATCTTCTTTCCCCCGACACTTTTCAGTCAAATATTTCTTGTTCAGTGTGGTAAAAAGTTGTATTCTATCCATGTTCTTTGAGTATTTTGTAAGTTGTTCTTGTGTTTCCTTCTGGTTTTTCTCGCCGACTTTCCTCTGTTTTTCTTTCTGATAAAATCATGAATACACATCTACACGTACAGTAATATAGTTTTTGTTCATTTTGTTTTGTTAATATTTATAGACGTTTCTTTTTCCATACATATGTAAAACGTTTTTTGCATGAGAATGGATTTTGTTTCTTGTGGGCATTGTGGGCGTGACTGCTGCTCCTGCTGAGGAGTAACTAAATCAACTAAAACTAAATTTATATTCACGTTAAAGCTTAAATGATAAGTAAGGCAAAGGGTTCGATGAGGTTCGCGTTTGCAGTTCATAAATTAATCCATAAACTAAGGTAACTAGACGACTAAATGCTAGGTGTAAAAAGATGGCAATCATTACTCGTAACTAAACTGAAGCTTTGTAAATGGCAAATTAAAGCTTTTTACTTCACATTTCATTCAATCGAATACAAATACGAATATGAATGCAAATACAAATACAAATGGAGGAAATCAGGGGCTGGGACACATTTGATAAATGCTCATTCCAGGTTAATTACTAAATAGTTAAATATCCGTGTGTAAATGTTCATTGTGAGTGGGCTTTGTGTTTGTGAGATAGCTCAATTGTACAACTAAGATAATGAAATTCATTTGCATTCGGCTGCAAAAGCGCTTTCGAGACCGTTTTGCATGAATTGTGTTTGTTTGTTTTTGTTTTTTTAAGTATTTTTTGTTTGTTTAAGAGAAATCATATTTCAGGTACATCACAACTTAAAATTTAAAAAATTAAATGCAATTTTTTAAACGATTTTCAATGTCAAATGCCTAATGCATTCCATATATGGCAAGCAAACATTCTCTAATCTTAAGCGAATAATAAAATAGAACCGATAGAAGGACGCGGCCACATTAGCATTGCTGTTCCGCCTGTCTGCGGCGAATCCTCTTCTGCAGAGCTGCCTGCAGCCGTTGTCTCCCAGTTGATGAGCAGGATGATCCCGAACCCGATCCCGATCCCGAACCCCCCGCGCCATGTCGCCAGTACTTGTGCAGGGCCAGCGATCCCAGGGTGTGGTAGTTGAAGCTGATGGAGCTGCTCCTCCGCCTCTGGCTGCACTTGAGGCAGCCCAAGCGCTGGCGCACCATGCGATTGAGGTACTTGTCCCTCAGCAGGGTGACCACCGCCTCGGGCGTCAGGCGAATTTTCTTGGGCTGCGCCTGCTTGCGCGAGCTGGACTTCTTGCTGAAATCCAGCGGAGCGGCCAGATACTCCTGCTGGCTGGCCGCATCTGCCAGCAGCGGCAGCAGGGTGGCCAGTTGGTTGAGGGATTTGCGGGAGGCGCCGTTGCTGTGAGCCGGCGTCACCTTCTTGGGACTCCGACGCGGCGTGCTGAGATCCAACTGACGCTTGAGCAGCGATGTCGTCGCCGGCGGCGGCGGTGGCTGCAGCTTTGGCGCAATGGTCAGTGTTATGTCCTCCTTGTTACGCAAATACTCGATGTACTCCTCCGTTTCGCTGAGCAGACGACGACGCTTGCTTGGCGACAGGTTCTCAATGTCCAATTCCGGCAGCTGCTGACCCGTAGTCGTGGCCGTGGGCAGTGCTGCTGCTGCAGCGGCCAACATCAGAGGCGTCTCTGCCGCATAATACTTGTTGATGATGTCCTTGACGTAGTTCTGGAACTGAGTGCCAATGCGATTGAGATTCTGGTACTCCATTTGGGTGAGAAACGGTGTCTGGCTGGTGTTGCCGCTGACGCTGGGCGGCGATGTTGCTGCTGCAGCTGCAACACTTGCTGCCGCTACCGCTGCTGTTGGTGACTTGCTTTTGTTGTTCTCCTTGTCATCCTGGCGATGATGGTGAACGGCATTTCTGTGCGATGACTTGTCCTTGTAGTAGTTGTTGTTATGGCTGTTACTATTGTTATTGTTGTTGTTGTTGTTCAATTTGTACGCGGGAGACGATTTAATAAGCTGCAATCGCTGCTGCTGCTGCTGCTGGATATGATTTTGCTGATGTGGCTGATGCTGCTGTTGCTGGTTCTCTTGGTCCTCATCGTTGTCATCGGTTTCGACCTTGATCTTCCGTTTGCTGGCCAGCAGCTCGATGGCCGTCTGCTCGTAGCTGGCCGCCTCCAGAAATGCCGTTGCCATCATCGCCTTGCTGGGCACCATGTCCTTGCCCTCCAGCTCATCCATCTTCTCCAGCTTGACGGCATGACGCGACAGCTTCAGCGGCGATGTGGCGCTCATGTTGAACTCATCGCCCGAGAAGCTCGACGACGAGGCCGACGATGGTGTGTTCTCGTCATCCTCGCCGGTGGAATGTTGTCGCGCCCTAATGCCAAACTTCTGGCGCTGGGAACCGGATACGGAGCCGGCGGCGGCACCGCCGCCCATGTTGCTCAGGCTGTACAGCAGTGCAGCAGCCTCACGTGTCGTCCATTGCGAAGGCAGTTTATTGTTAAACAGGAGTTGATGATTGGCTGGTATTTTCAACTCGTGCACGCCTCCCGCCTTATGAAAATCCTGAGCGACCGAAGCGGTGTTGCGACTAATGGCGTCCATTTTCAGCAGACTGCAAGGATAAAGTAAATGGCAAGGGATTAGAATATGATATTGATGCTTGAATGAAGGACAAATAAACAGCTATTAAGGGTGAAAATCAGGGGAACTGAATATAAACAATTTAAACAATGCTTAAACAGTGCAAAATAAAACTTTTCATAATATATATATGTATAAACGGAACAGATAAAACAGCAAAAAGCAAGGACGAATAGTGCGACCTAAAACAAAACATTCCTAAAGTGTAAATATTAAGTGAAGAACAGTAAAACAACAACAAACAGTATTTAAAGGCAGCTTGAAAACATAAACGATTTTTGGAACTCACAAGGCACAATCGCACAATATGGGTTAACATTTTGACTAATAAAAGTGGAATAAAAGAGTTATTTGGTAATGATAAATAAAACTTAAACGAATTATGGGTTTAATAGACCATATAAAATGGGTGAAAGCAACTGAATTTCAGGAAACTTATTGGAAAACTTTGTAAATTAAATAAAAACCAACATAAACAAAACCATATATTACATTTTCATGTAATGCAATTTTATAACACAACGAAACAAGTTAAGAAATCGAGTGAAAACCAACGAAAGCGCAATGGATGTGGGGGGGGCATGGCATATTGGTTGTGCAAATACCGCGCATAGTCCTCCGGATCGCTGCCCTCGGCCTCGAGGTACTGAAACAATCGCTCCGAGCCGCGCTTCTGCGTGGCCGCATTTGGCAATCCGCCGGTGAGCAAATCGTGTGGCGGGATCAGAGATCCGTTGGCACTTAGCCGCCAGCCGACCATCGACGAGGGATTCACGATGATCTCCTGGAGCGGTCCGCCGCCGGATATGTTGCCGCTAAGGCCGCCGCCGCCACCACCTCCTCCGCCGCCGCCGGCCACGCCCTCATTGGTGGTGGTGGTGTAGATGGTTACGGCACCGCCGCCTCCATTCGCATTTCCCACATTGCCACTGGACGAGCTAACCGGAAATGGTGGTCGATGGTCGATGGTTGATGGTTGATGGTTGGTGGTCATGTGGAGATGTGGTGATCATGGTTGTTGGGATGTCGTGGGAATCGAGAGTCGAGAGAACGAGAGAACGAGGGTAGTAACTAGAGTTAGGAACGTTGTGCGCGCTCGGTTTGGGTTTTTTTTTTTTTTTTTTTTGGTTTTTTGGTTTTTTGGGAATGTTGGTGTTTTTGGTTTTTGTTTTGTTTTCGGGAGGGGTTTTTGGTTTTTGGTTTTTTTTTTGGTATTTTTTAATGGGTCAGGGCGGTCTGAGAATGTTACCCAAAAGCGTTGCCGGCATAGGTGTTCAGCTGGTTGTTGGCCACCAGGCTGTTGCCAATGGTTCGCAGCACATTGAGGTTCTGGCTGTGGCTGTGGCCTCCGGCATTGGCATTGTTGTTGCCATTGCCGCCGCCGCCGCCGTTGCCGTTGCCGTTGCTATTGCCGCTGCTGCTGCCGCCGCTCTGGTTGCCGTTGCCACTGCGCGCCGGCCGATTATCGTGCGGACTGATCAGATCAGAGTATATATATACACATACATATGTGTTAGATATAGAGAACGTCCGGGGGTTTTTAATTTTCGGGGGGTAGCGAAAAGAAGTGGGGCGAAAGAGAGTTCAAAAGCTGTTTAGAGTTTTTCGTAATTCCCAGGGCAAACGAAGGGGGCAGGTTAGATTCGGGGCATCCG